GGGGGAGTGCTTCAGTGATTCCAGCCCAAGTGGAACTGGAGCCATGCGCAATCTATGAATACCCTGTTACAGTAGACTCACTAAAGCTACAGATGGAGCTCAATATCCAATTTGGCAGCTCAATTAAATATAGATAAGATTTGTACGGAGTAGCGCAACTCGTATTCTAGAACCATGGTTACGTTCCTCCCGAACTCTCCGCTGGATTCAATAATGTCTTTTTGCCTTTCTAGACCCACGATGTCTCACCCCTAAAGTCGATCCGCAGTGAGACATACAGGGTGTATATATTATATACATATTAAAATAGGCGTTGAATAGCGGGTCGTGCCGGAAATGTCCATCCACGTCTATATTGAATGTGTGCACATCCCACCTCCACAGGAATGTAGCCGTCCCACTCCAAGCGCTTATCGCGCGGATCCCATCAAAAAGCAAAGCCATGTCCGATAAACCCCTGCCGTCTCCACCACAGGCAACTTGGTACATGAACTAGCAGTTGCGGTTTACGACGTACATTGGCTGCGTGTGAGATGCCCACTGAACTTGCATGGAGAATGGGCATTTCAGAATGGATCAGACCCGTGACGTGGCTAGGGCTTACAAATTCACTCAAGATACACAGCCCTGGGAGGATCTCACATGCCGACAACAATACAATACCTGCCCAGCCATTTTTAAATTTTTTTTTATGGCGGGTACCAAGTTGTACATCATACATTCCAAAGCTCACCGCCACAATCTCAGCAATGGCGCTTGCCTAGGAGCCAATCTCAGATCGCAGGCGGGGGGGATACTTGCATTGAGTAAGGATCTCCTGCACCTGGGGACTGCATCAAGATCGGGACGGGGCTGAAATTCTACGATTTGAAACTTTCATGCACGACTAGTGGTTTTTTTTAAAAAAAAAAAATGGTTGCCTCCTTTTTCTAATACAACCTGGTCAAAACCAAAGATACAACAGTGTATGCATCCCTCCTGCAAGCCATCTCCCGGGAGATCTCGGGCACTCGATCTGGAGTTTCGGACAGATGCAGCTGATCGCTTGATCTCGGGCAGAATGCAGACTTGAACTATTGACTTTGTGCAGCTTGCAGTGGAGTACTTCGTATACTGATAGCACGGTATGGAACTCCCTGTGTGTCTACCCAAGATGTAACATTTATGTTGTATTACCCGTATACTCCGTACAAAATATACAGATCAGCAAAACATAAAAAACCTCCAAGAGACAAAGCCAAGATTGAAATCAATAGTTGGTGCCCCATTTGGCGGGTAATTCGATTCGTTCTCCACCGCCCCATGATCTCATACGATTGGCCCCAACCAGCCAAGATAGACTTTTTCCCAAAAAGGATACCTCCACTTAATTTCAATATGGAGCCGCTAGATCCACGGGTCTCAGCCGGGAACGACCGGTTGGGAAATCAAAAAGGTAAAGGTAGACGAAAGCGAAAGCGATGGGCCGGGGTTAGCTTCCATCCAATCAGAATCCGGTTCATTAGATCTGCACATTAATTAGGTTTCTATGGGAATTTAGTTTTGGGTGAAGAAGATGATCGTGATATTCCTCAATAGTGACTTGGTAGTACAAAACATACACCTACATATGGTGAATATGAGTGTTTCGGATAGATCCGCTGCAGTTGGTATTGTAATGTCTGCATTTCAGAGGCAAAAAAAAGAAAAGAAAAAATTAACAATGCAATAATAATGCAATAATAATTTATACTTGCATACTCCATACTCCGTATACGATATACAGATGCAGAGCACTAATGCAAGTCCGTTATTCCGGTACGACTTTCACGGCCAAGTCCGAGAGTCTATAATGTACTCCATATACTAAGCAATAGCGCATGCCTCAATATACTACAACTAGCTAGGACAGGGAAGACAGAAGAATACCTAAGGAATAAGAACCTTACACTCCACTCAAGCCATCCCATCCCAAACTCGGCATAGCGCGGGAGGCTCGAGAGCCTGAGTTAAATACCGATCTACCACTTGCACCCTTTTTAACTCTTGACAATCTACCAGGTTAGGTCGCGTGGACCTTTGAATATAACGTACACCGACATTTATTCCAAACAGAGTTCTGACAGCAGAGGCCGTGGTCGCCGTCGCCGCCGCAACCCCACAACGGACAGTTCGCAGTTCGCAGTTCCCAGTTCGCAGCAAACTATTGAATGCGATCTATATAATCTTACCAGATAAAGTTTGTATCGGCCACCGATCCAAGGCTTATGGGCCGCCCAGCACAGGCCTATTGACGATCAATAGCGTCATAGGCGTATTTTTTTTTCTAAAATATATACTCTGTACTATGTAAGTCGGTGTAGGCAAAAAGGGCGATCATAGTATATCCACAGAAGAATTATTATTAGTTCGTGGAGATGGTTCCATATATGATATTCCTCCTCCGTATGTATACCGTGTACGGAGTACGGAAGTACCTATACACGGAGTACGGAAGTACGCTATTTTCACTTTTTCGGTTATCTGCCGAATGAACGAATGAACTTCAGCAGTATTATCCACGCCCCACGAATGGATACGTCAAAGTTCGCTAGTCCCTTTTTCTTTCTATGATCCTCCGGTACAATATGGAGATTTTCACAGAGAACCGTAGGACCCGATGCGCCACATGAAGGTTGTGGTGCCACATATTTCTTTACCGTACGGAGTGCGCGCCTCTAGAACTGAATAGAAGTTCTAGAAACAAGGTCTAAAACTGACTGTGGAGGTGAGCGGCTTTCTCGGCAGCGTCTCGAACGTGTCTCGGGGTGGTTCTGGACGGTGCTGGAAAACAGAGATGAAATTTGGTTCGAGTCCAAATCCCATTCTGTGACAAGGAATGTCATGCCATATTGTTGAAGGCTGGAGACTACTCCGTAGGTACTCCGTACGCGTAGAGAGCAACGTAAAAAGCTGCCCCAGGTGTCCACCTTGGCAGGTGCCGGGGCCCCGGCAAATTGAAGGAGTCAGCACGTCCCAAAACGGAATGTACATTCCATGGCTCTTTCTAAAATCGGCTCTACGCCACGTTTTCCCTCTTTTTGTATTACTTTCTTTTTTTTTTTTTTTTTGCTCTCCCTTTTTGAATTCCGATCTGTGGAAATAGGGATGTGTGTTGTAGTAGAGAGGAGTAAGGGACAAAGGAGGTTTGTAAAGGGGACGGCTAATGGCATAGATCCCCACAGGGATAAGCGAACGTGCGATCTGGGATCTCGATCGATTTTACCAACCTTGGAACCCTACTAGCTCGTTTTTCTTGAATTGTCATGGCAAATAATATTCCCCCATCGTCCTTCTTAAACCCCCACCCGATGAACTAGCAAAAGTAAACAAGAAGTAACCAAAGAAACCTCAAACAATTCATCTCCTTTTACGTATAATAAAGCAAATGGCTACTTCCTAGGTGATAATAGTAAGTCCAGTCCGGGACAGACTACGTAAACTCTACAGACCATCGGAATGCACTTGCAGATGCGGTCGATTCCTCCGAACATGGGTTCCCCATGTGGACTCACGAACTAAGCTGTCAACCTCGAGAATGACAAATCTTGAGACCCGGCTTATTGATCCACCTATTATATAGTAGGTACAGAGTACCTTACATACAGAGGAATGTGGCGGTCTGTAAATAAGGCTCCTGTGAGAGCGAATTTAAAGTACTGGAATTTACAGGTAAGATCGTACGTCCTATACGGAGTAACTACGGAGTACAATGTGACATAATATCTGTATATTGCTTATATACATTAGATGATAAATTAGGTATGCTCCGTATTTTAATATGTATTTAATCTAAATCTAATTTTGAGATCTCATGCCCGATCCCGATCCCAATACTCCGTAGATCAGATCTGATTATCCTAAACACAAATACCTGCAGCGAATGATCGCACTCCAACCCCGCTAGTCGAACAAACTTAGACTAAGTCTGGGTGTTCCATTGGTCGCCATTTTACTATAAAGTAGTTGTACGGAGTAGTTAGAGAATTTCTCTCTAGAAGGATTCATAGAGTTCGAATAATGGTGTTCCTACAATATAGTGAAGATCTAAACCCCACTTCTAATCTAAATGAATTCCAAATAGTTTTTGTATTAGGCCACCTGCATATATAATATATATTGTATAGCGAATCAGGCCTTCCCAAAAAAGCCAAGGAATCATGCCATACTCTCATCGCCACAATGCACGTCCAACGTCCATAAAAAAAAGAACTACAAATCAGAAAAGAAATACGCGAGATCATGCCATATCAATATAAATAAAAGTATGATTAAGTTAAACTCCCTTTGGAACCCTTCGGTACCGAGACTTTACGGCTGAGAATATACATCCATGGATGTGGTAACAGCTGGATTTACAAAGTTCAAAAGTTGAGATTTCGATGATATTTAATTGGCGCCACACATTGACCAATAAAAGAAAAAGTGTCATAAAACCTTGAAGATTGAATATCAAATAATGGACTTGGGGGCCATAAAATGAACCATAAATGTAACGCTGAATGAGACATCGTACACACATCATATCAGGGACATACTCGAACAGAATAGCTCATGGGGAACACAAAAATGCAGGGTATAAACCAATAACGGTATTGAGAGATAGAGGGGAAACATTGAGGTAAAAGAGAGGGCATAAGAAAAAGAAAAAAAAACCCAGAAAAGTAAAGAAACCAGTTTCAGACCAGGCCAATAGCTATTGAATCATCAAAGGGGGATATCTATGCTAAAGCCGTTTTTCTCCCAGTACCTTGGAAGCTGTTGGGGGGTATTATATATAAGAGCACCGAGTAGGGAAAGAGTCCCAAAAGAAAAGTAAAGAAAAAAAAGATCAAGGGAAGACATAAAAGCCAGCAAAAAAAAGATGCTGAGCAAGGGGAAGATAGCAGAATTCCCAAAAGAAAATGGCCAAACTCCGTTGCCTTCTATTTCCCACCTTTTTTTTCCAACGCCACATGAAGAAAAAAAAAAAAAAACGAAGCTTAATGACTGGGTGGTGAGGCGGAGTCAAGAACCGACTTGGGCTTCAGGTTTGAACCCAGACTCGCCGCCTTGTGAGCACCCATCTTGCGAGTTAGCTTGGCGTAATGTAGACCGCAGGCGTTACACAACGTTCGGGCACCATCTGGTCCCCGACGCCATTCTGGTGTTTCGGCTCGGTTACAGCTGTGGCAACGACCAGGAGGGGCCGCTTTCTGTAAAACGGGGTTAGCCAAACACATTCGAGTTGTGGGGGTAGGTGGCAGGGTGTCAACCACTGTCGACCACGATCAATCCAGGGGGAAAAGAAAAGAGTCTAGAACTTACTCCACGCCGTTTCTTTGGGTCTGCGCCTGCAAATCCGCCAGTGCCTTTGAACTCTTCTTGGTACATCGCCATGTGATCATCTTCAGTCTTGAAAGCCTTGCGTTGCGCCATCTGTTCGGCGATAGCCTGTTCCTGGTTGACCACGGCTGTGCGTATCCTGATCAGGGCATCTTGGTTCCGCCGTTGCATATGAAGCATATCCTCCACCTCATTTAGCGAGGGGAGGGACCCTAAGAGCGGACCAGACCGCTGCGTTTGATGTGCGCGAGCTGCGTAGTGTCGCGAAAAGTCTAGGGTTCGCGTACTTAATTCGGCGATCTGTTCCACAATGTCAGTCCACATGTAATTTCCGGTGATTTGACCAGCCGTTTATCAATTGTGCAATGTGGTTCAAAAATAGAAGTGATGACCAATTTGAAAAAAAAAAATTAGGGGAAAAAAGGAAAATCCATACCTCATTCAAAGATGTCTCCACATCATAAACGTCCAGATGCCGTTTTCCGGAGTCGCTATGGGGAGGACCTGGTCGACCCACAAATCCACCCTTGACTTCTTCTACACGGGGTGCGCCCATGTAGGCACGGTTGTCGTAGGGAGCAGGAGGGTAGGAGTGACCACTGGACTGTGGTGGGAAGGAGTAATTTGGGGGAAATGGCCATAACCATTGGGCGAGGCCACGCTACCGGCGGAAGTTGGAGCACTGTACTCATAGCCGGATGAATTTTGCGATCCAACCGAAGTGATGCCTGTTTTGGTGCTCTGTGTAGGAGACTTCCCCGTGCTGATGGAGTGTAGTGAAGGGTTGCGCGAATCTTGTGTATTGATGGAGGTGATACTGGAACGCGATGCATCTTGCAACTGACCTTGATGCGAGAAACCGGGTTCCCGCATCAAGGGTCCGGTCGGTGGTCCATTCGAAAAGGGATTTGGTGGTCCAGCTGGACCTTCTGCACTCGGTCTTCCGATGAGATGTGAAGGCGGCGCAGGGTGTGTGGATTGTGGTGGTGGAGCGGAGGTAGATGCAGGGTATGGGAGAGGATTGTCGTTGCCGAGGGCCTCATGAATTGATGGCAGCGACTGTCTTGGGGTGTGTTTTTCCTTCTCATCTTCCACGGTGCGACGTGCCTCCGGCGACGAGATGTACCCCGGTGGTGCATTCGACGCGTAGGAGTAAGGTAGGGGTTGTCCGGAGTACATGACGTTCGGACTCATCAGAGGAGTTGGAGAAGCGGTGGCACTCGAAGGGTGTCTGGAAGTGTATCCCGATCCGTCTTTCCCTAGAAAACCTATCGCGGGTAAAGGGTCTCTGGAAATTGAAGGTTGGTCAGCTTCGGGGGAGTGACTGTAAGGTCGCAAAACCAACCTGTGCCTAGATGCGGCTTCCAAAGACCCCATCACGTTGAGAATAAATAAGTTGAAGCGATGCCTTCCAGAACAGAGATAAGGGAAACAAAGTTCAAGGCCGGAATGTTGCCTCTCGTGCGACTTAGGGAAAAGCGTTCCGCCTGTTCGTGCCGAAAGTGATGGGAAAGAGGCCCAGATCCCAAGATCCAACGACCCAAAGATCCCGGGGGGCGAAGGTTGGAAGTGGCGTTTAGATGGAGCCCGAGTAACCCGATGAATTAACCAGAGTAAATTACCTTCTCTTTCTCTCCTTTTCTTTTAATTTCCTTTTTTTTAACTTGGTTAAAAAAAAATCAATGGAACTTAAGGAAGAAAAATAGAGATCTCTCAAGAGGGAGAGAGATAGAGAGGAAGAATAAAAGAAACCCCTCCAAAAAAAAAAAAGTATGTTTAAAATCTTGATCAAAACCCCCAAAAAAAGAAAAGGGAAAAAAAAGTCAAGATCGCAAACGCAAGGGATATAAAGCGTGGAAATGGGAATGTCAATCCAAATATGAAAGCACGAGGTGGAATGGGGATAAATATAAAAGAATACACCTTAAGAGAGGGGAAAATCCAAAAATCCAAAAATCAAAGGGGATCGAGGCTACTTCATTTCGGGCTTTAGATTGGAAACGGGAAGCTTAGAGAGGAGTACAGGAACTTAATTTTTGATTTTATTTTTATTATCGAAAACATATAATAAAAAATAAAAAGGAAAAAGGAAAATTAATAAATATAATAAATAATAAGTAAAATAAAAATAAAAATAAAAAACAAAATAGATCGAGATCCGAACAGGGGGAAAATTACCCTGGGAAATTGCAAGATCGTCATAACCTGGTTTTACAAGGCAAATTACCAACTGCGGATCATCGGCATCATACCTATCACTACGGAGTGGTCTTTGTAGTATCTAATGTTGATATTTCAGTGGACCCAAGGAATTACAGATAGTCTTCTACTCCGTATATAGAGTACAGCATGTAATTACACACATTTCTCTCGAACCTGCAGGGTGTCCTCGGTGTCTGTTATCTAGAGACACAATGCGACACTGGTCAGGAACCTCCAACATCCTGGTAGTACACGAAGTTTCCTCCTAGGGTAATGACCCACAACCTATCCAATATATTCTCAACACTCATATTTAGTACGGAGTAAATAGTAAATAGTAAGAAAAAGTAAAATATAAATATAAATATTAAAAAAAGAAGAAGTTAGCCTACCCCAGAACCTAGGATCGATCGAGATAAACGGCCGATTCTCAACGTGCTAAGGGACGGCTGAAATACCGGGAGAGTGGTCCAACAAGAGGAGAAGCTAGCGGACAATAGTTCTAGCTCATCACAGTGTTCCGGTATACTGGAATCAATGGATCTATTAATATATTATATAACAAATAGCGCATAACGCAGGGCAATCTAAGAGTAATCATAAGATGGACTTAATTAACACGACAAGTATCATGTACGAGTACCTGTATTTGGATCCATGTCACATGAGAGAGATCTCCGATTCAAAGTGGGTAAAATGTCAGCCTCGGGCTATGAACTAAACTCCAGTTCCAGAGGTTAGACCGAGCTTATTAATAGTGAAGGACATGATGTCAGATCTGTATTAGGGTGTTAGTGCCTACAGGTGCTCCAGCACGGAGTACTACTCCGTACAATAGTCTAGGGTTCAAGGCCAACTTCGAAGGCAACCTTGGATATTTTCACCTTTTTTTAAAAAAAAAAAAAAGGTCTGTATGTCTGCAGCCTGCACGCAAAATATATCCCCAAGGCCCTGGAATAACAGAATCAAATGACTCAAAAGGTAAAGAATCGAGTCTAGGGGGGAGGTGGGGGAGCATGCAACCCCAAGTAGTGTCACAAAGGGGAAACACAAGACACACAAGGGGGTCTACACTAATTCAAGATCTCTTGAATGGGGACACAGAGGGGCTCTTTCCATCGCAACCGGGGGGAATCAGAGACGTGGCTGAGGTTACACAGTCAGATCTGAAAGCGCCCGATGTGGCCCCAATTACAACGTTCCATGGTTCACTCGACTTTAATTTATTTTACCTTTTTTCCGTTCTTTTCTTATTTTCTCTTTCATTTTCGTTATTTATTTATACTAGTACTTGCACGATCCATACTACTAGTATAATATGTGATTCTCATTTTCATTCACACAGAAAACACCCACTAGATACCATTTACGTCACCGAGCCACGCCGTTACAAGCCAAGATCGGGCGCAGGTGAAATCACAAAAGAAAAAGTAAAAAGAAAGAAAAAAAATAAAAATTAGGAAAGACAAACTAAAAGGGGAAATAATAAATTAAATCAATAAATAATTCGTCAGTCTCGGAGCACGCTACCCCCTTGAGTACCCGCCGAAAAGGATCGGATCGCAAGGGTATTGCAACACACGTTGCTTAAGCTTTAGATCGAGATCAAAACACGGGACGTTTATTGGCGAGATCGTGTGGGCTTCACTCCATCTCAGCCTTTTAGACCCTGACATTTAGAATGTGAGAACTGTGCCAGTATAGGGAAGCTTGAAGACATTAGAAGCTTGGATTTATGGGAAGAGGAGAAGAGACATATGGGCCGGTTGCCTTTCCAGGCGCCCTGCGTAAAGTCCCGGGAAAAGCCCGACTTCGATAGTGTTTAGCGCGGTCTCTATAGTGTCTTGGAATTTTCGGACTTTAACTACGGAGCACTTTAATTTATTCTTGCGTACTCCGTACGGAGTACTCTGCTCTCAAAAGCACCGAAGGATCAAAGCTATTTGGAAAATCAAATTTCTGGAGCCTTAAGTTTGTTGGCCTCGGACCCACCACGTTAGACGTCATATTTCCCGTTCAAACTACTGGGATGTAGGCAACTTCTTGTCTAGTCTATGTACGGAGTACATAGTTACTGAAAACCAAAACTGTCTAGTTTATCCCTAGCCCCAAGCCTGACACGGCAGAGCTGTCATGGCCCCGTTCGCCTCCTTGATCGCACTTCAACGCACAGACTCAAAGGAGGGGGGAAGAGGACCCATAATGATGCACGATATACATCGTATGGTCCAACGGTCGGCCCAAGGTCTAAAAGTGGAAGATCCAAAAACGGCGAAAGGCAATCGCCTCAAGATCTTCGGAATATCTTGCGGTTGATCTTTGACAGTTCTCAGCTGTACCATGGCCGTACCATGTACAAAGTACTCTGCACACTTGAGGGAATTACCTCGGATCAGCCTTGGAAGGTATTTGTGATATCCTTCCCATGCATACAAGTAAGAGCAAATCCCGAGTCTGATACATATTTGTATTCCCAGTGTGCAGGATTTCAGCTCATGTGCTGGCCACATCCAGGAGGCAGTGTTTTGCTCCTTAAAAATGAGAATACGGCGTGTAAGCGCATAATAGCACAATGGACTTTGTTGACGGGTCTGAAATCAACTGCGTGGAAGCAATCTACACAGTAGTCGCTGCATGGCGAGAAGCCCAGTGCACCAGCCGGATCTTACTATTTCAGCCACTCTACGATGCATTCCGTGCGCACTGGAGATTTAGTGCATGCACGGTAGGTCACTTTGATCTGCCGAGCGTGAATGCAGTAAGGATCTCTCTGCGATTGGGAGATTCTCCACCTGCAGGATAATGGGGTGCTGAGGAGGGACAAGGCGCAAGTAAGAAGATCACACTGCTGAATCCCGATGAGACTTATCACAATGAGATTGGAGGCTGAAATCCCCAGCTACTCTCTCTATTACGGAGTAGCATCTCTGGTTGTACATCATACGATAGACTAAGTGTGCCTGGGGCATTCATTCATCAGGGGCACCGGATTTCCCCGCGATGTCTCGGCGCCTTTCGATCTGAACTATCAGAATCGCAACTGGTCGCACTAGCCTGGTTGCAGTACGCTATGATGAATCATACACGATCGAAGTATAATTTCTGCAATTGACCTGGTTGTTTTTAATACGGGGGGGGAACCAGAACCAGTTATTATGGAGTCCATCCTGGTTGCCTTTTTACGGCAACTAGGAGTGCAGGATGAATTACGTAGAAGCCTACGGAGTAGACCGTGGTCTTTTTTTTACGGGTCACGTCCCACTGAGAATATCCTAGCATGGACTTGAGTATTCAAATATAACATTGAACCAGAGTCTGGCGGGGAAGAAGAAATTTCCTTGGAAAGTGGCTTTCGAAATCGAAGATATTCACGTGTTTGCAACGCCCCTTAGCCCCATAGGAGGTATTTAGACGAATGGCCGCAAATTCACCGAACATTCACCTCCAATGGCCAATGACATGAATTCTTGAAGAGATTTGACGCCCTGACGCCCATGTCAAGCTATCTCCTGGAGGAGGTGCCGATCTTTGGCCAAGCGCCTCCTTTTGAGTTTTATTTATTTGTTTACTTTACTACATAACCGCTAAAAGTGAAGATCATTGCCTAAGAAGCAGAAGAGAAATGACTCAACAAAATCACTGGAGGCCACTAGAGACAACTGGAGAAATGATCTCGCGAGTAAGTTGATCGACAAACCGTTAGAACGGTTTCTCCCCTGAGCTCCAAGTCTGACAAAAAAAAGCCATCACAGGAATATTTTCGCACGCTATAATTATTTTTCCCGAACAATTGTGGAGAACACATAAACAGACGATCACAGAATCCTAACCGCAAGGAGATGACCGACAACTTATTTTCTCAAGTTGGCAAGAGTTCCAGATCCGATCCCAATTTTAGTGCGCATCGACCATTGACTATCATTTTTTCCTCCGATACACCATATGATGACCTTGGGAGATGTCTCACGAACTGGTACCGTCCATAAAAGGGGTGAAGACAAAAGTACATCGCATAATGACTATCGTGTTGATCTACGATCCAAGACTAATATGGAGTAGCCAATTCCCAAGACTGCAGGTTCATCGATTCAGCCAAGAATATTTGGCTATCTGCTTATATTCAACTGACTCAGCAAAGGAGACTAAGACATATTCCCCTCACCGGGATAATATAA